ACACACACACACACACACACACACACACACACACACACACACACACACACACACACACACACACACACACACAATCTGCAGCCCCACATTTTCTGGTGAAGTTTTAAACCCCTCTGTCTGGTCTATGAGAGTACAGCGCCGTCTAGTGGCTGTTTTTTTTTTCCCTCAGCCTTCAGCAGAAGGACAGATCACAGTTTGCTGGAGGGTTGGAGGGAAGTACAAGCCTGACTTTCAGGACTGACAGTGTGTGCACAAGAACTAAAAGACAGAGGCAATAAAACAAGAAGCCAAACAAGCTCAGCTCAGGGGAAAGGTGTGGACTAACACGTTTTTAAAGATCCCCTCTCCATTTGGACATCTGGACTGTTGGGCACCCCCCTCCCCACCTCTGTGTGCGTCTGAAGCCCAGAGTTGACGGGAGGTAATCCCCGCCATGTGAGTGGGCGGAGCTGGTACCTATAAAAGGAGTGTAGTCAGCCTGCGTCAGATATGTTTCCTTCCATGGCTAAAGGTGAGTGAGTGTGTTAGTTGTGTCAGTGTCGTCCTGTCTGCTGGAGGAAGAGATGATGGACGACTCCGGAGCTGTCCAAGCGGCTCGTGCGCTGAAGCACGCCGCGCTGTGCCTGATGCTGCTGCCCCGGTTCCTGCTGGCCGCCGTCATGCTGTGGCTCCTGGACTTCTTGTGCATCCGGAGGAAGGTGCTGATGRTCATGGGCAAGAGGCAGGACGGCCCGGACGACCCGCCGCTGTGCGTCTCCGACTCCAACCGGATGTTCACCTGGGAGTCCCTGCGGGCCGTGTGGCACGGCCAGAAACTGGACTTTCTCAAATCGGCGCACCTGGGCCAGACGGCCCCCAACACCGAGGTGATGCTTGTGCAGGAGCGGCGGCCGGTCCGGCTCCTGGACTGCACGAAGGGCAAGCGGCCGCTCATCCTCAACTTCGGCAGCTGCTCCTGACCGCCGTTCATGACGCGGCTGGCCGCGTTCCAGCGCGTCATGCGCCAGTACGCGGACGTCGCGGACTTCTTGGTGGTGTACATCGAGGAGGCGCACCCGTCGGACGGCTGGGTGAGCTCCGACGCGCCTTACCAGATCCCCAAGCACCGCTGCTTGGAGGACAGGCTGAGAGCCGCGCAGCTGATGCTCTCCGAGGTGCCGGGGAGCAACGTGGTGGTGGACACCATGGACAACTCGTCCAACGCCGCGTACGGAGCCTACTTTGAGAGACTCTACATAGTGATGGACGAGAGGGTGGTGTACCAGGGGGGCAGGGGTCCCGAGGGCTACCGGATCTCGGAGCTGAAGAGCTGGCTGGAGGAGTACAAGAAGGAGCAGGTGGCCCCTCAGGCAGCAGTGGAGTGCGTTTAGTTTGATGCTGAAAGCTGCTACAGTGTCCAACCCAGTCAAACCATACCTGATGCTGCTATCACACATGGCACATATGTTGTTTTATTCCCGTGCAAACAGACTCTGGACAATTATAGAGTTTAAATTTCTGTGAAAGCCTTTAGATCCTGTTCAGATTGTGATGATTGCTCATAGCGATTTTCTTTATTGTTATTTTTGTATGGAAAAGTGTTGAATCAATTGAATCTGAGTTCAGTTGGTGGTCACTCTATTTTTCTACAATGAGTATGTGTGTGCGTGTGTGTGTGCGTGTGTGTTGGGGGTGTGGGGGGGGGCATATCTCACTCTGGCGTCTGTGTGAAGTTCGGTTTTTAAAAGGGCGCATCCAGAGAACCGACACTGATGTTCCTGATTCCAGCAGAGGGATTCTGCTCTCCTCAGTGACTGATTGTGAGTTTTATTTTTATTTTTTTTGAAACAATGTAACTGAACAAATTTTTTGTAATAAAAAAAAGACAGGTTTGCATCTCTTGTGACCATGAATTGCTTATTTGAAAACCTTTGAACTTCTGGGTTTTTGGTCATTTCCTTACTTAACTTTTATTTTATGCTCTTTTACGTTCGATTTTTATTTGCTTTTCTCGTTCATTTTATGATCAATCACAAATATATTTCCTTTTATGCACACACGGAAAGAAAAACACATACATGCAGGTAAAACAAAACATGCCGCTTTAATGAACAAAATCTAAAATGATAAATTTACTTATAAGTATAGAAATTTCAGGACATCATAAGTTATTTTTGCTCAGCAGATCATTAAAAATAGTTCATTTTAATCCAAGTTTACAAAGCTGTGGCCTTTTTAAATCTGTTGTTTAGCCTTAAAAAAAGAGCAATACTCTTATTCTTGCTCAGCAGATCATTAAAAATAGTTCATTTTAATCCAAGTTTACAAAGCTGTGGCCTTTTTAAATCTGTTGTTTAGCCTTAAAAAAGAGCAATACTCTTATTCCATTTTAATCTGTCAACTTTTAAATAAATATATATTTTCAATCATCCTTTTCAGCTTCTGTAATAAATTTGTGGTCGGGGCACCATTTTTTTGTGACAAAACATGTGGGTGACAAGTTTTGTGATGTCCTGAGAAGATCTCAAGAAACCAAATAAGATAAATTAAATAATAATATTTGTAGATTTTCACTTTATTGTTCCAAAAAAAAATTAAAACCATAGTCATAAATGGGGAAAAACAAAGAGTTCAATTTAAGATGTTATTGTTTGCTTTTGCTATATAGTTCAACTGGAGATATTTGGAGTAAAAATCTAAAAGCTAAAGCTCGGCTCAACTCCTGTTCTACAAATTGGCAAATGTAATTTGGATTATGTTGATCCCGTGTGGCCCGGGTTTCTATTTGCTTGACTTCCTTTATGGCTCATAATATCAGGCCCAAGCAGAGAGCATCATGATTCGTAACTCTTGCTTCATACCTGTTTCTTTGCTCAAAATGGCAACAAAAAAAGGAAAGAAAAAGAWAAACTGCAGCTTTAAGCTTCACKTTGCAGCTCAGAATCCTGTGATAAAGTCAGAGAAGAATGTCRGTCAATCAGCAACGTCTGACATCGGACCAAAGACCCGACCTCTGGTCACCTGAGGTCTGATTGACGGCTCAGAGGGTCAAACAAACAGGCTCGGGGGGGTCAGACGATAAAAATGGGTTTGTTGTTTTTGAACCATCTGTGCCACTGAGTTTTTCCAAAGGCTGAACGTGCACGAAAGAGACCGCTGGCACATATTTATAAAGAACGTGGTGACCCAAGGAGATTAGATTTGCCTTATCTGACAAAGATGATGCCTCTCCGTTTAAGGGTGAGGAAGCTGTAGACAGGAGCTGTACACCGAAAAGCTGCATTGATTTGTTCCTTTACTGATGCGTTAATGTTCATTGCATTATACATTACATACAATAAATTGTAATGAAATAGTTACTTAAATTAAAGCTTTGAATTTATTTTCAAGTTTGGAGTGTTTGTTTTTATGTCTAAAATGATGCATCAGACACACAAAGAGGAATCTAATTTAAAATCAACAAGTTGTATTCTAAAAGTCTGTCGCTTTATGTCGTTATGACGTTTCCTCGATGTCATATGCCATGAAGGCACAGACAGGTAAGACAACAGGTTGAATAGCAAGGAAGCAAAGAAGCAGCAAAATACACTGCTCAAAAAAATAAAGGGAACACTTAAACGCACGCTAACTCCCGATCTTAATCAATGAAATATTCGCATTGAGTACTTTGTTCTGTACAGAGTTGAATGTGCTTCACAAAAGTTTGATTTACTTGGCCTTAGCGTGCGTTGTTTAAGTGTTCCCTTTATTTTTTTGAGCAGTGTAGTAATAATTTATATTAATGTCACAGTCAGCGCAACTTTGATTTCATGCTCTCTGACAGTGTTAGCTTTTTAAACTCCAACCAACCAAACTAAAGTAAAGTTTATGAGTGGGTTCATGAGGAAAGCATTGTCACTGCTCACCTTATTAGAGCTTAGCCTCTTTTAAATGTATTAAAAAGAAAATGCCTATAAATTCTGGTCCATAGGGGGCAGTGAGGGGGGCACCATGTTTTTCAGGGTAGTCATAAAAGGGCAACAAGACAGCAAGCAAAAAATAATAATAATAATGCGATGTGCGTAGTTTGACAAGTGGTTCTAAGAGTCATTCTCAGAAATTAATAATTAAAATTAAAACAGATGGATTTTGTTAGTTTGTAAATAATAAATACATTCCGAAAGCTAAAGATTTTTAAATTTACAACTTTCAAAAGGAAAAATGTGTTTGTTTCTTTGTTTGTTTGTTTGTTTTGTTTGTTTTTGCCTAAGCAGTTGTAACAATCATTTCAGCAGTTTCAGTTTATGAAATGAAACTCTTTCGACTTAACGACTCGAGGAAGAAGACACGTATTGACTTCAGCCGAGCGACCCAAATTTCAGACTGTGAGAATTGGTTTTAAAATTAGTTCCTTTGGTTTTTTTACAGCTCTCTCATAACAAAGTCAAATCGCCTAAAACCATCGCACTGCGCCACCAAATTATTATTATTTACAGGGTTTTTTTGTAAATGAGATTACAAGCTTAAATAA